AAAAAAAAAAAAAAAAAAAAAATCAAAAAAATTAGCCATACAGGCTAGTGGCACGTGCCTGCAGACCCAGCTACTCAGGAGATTGAGGCAGGAGGATCGCTTAGCCCAGGAGCTTGAGGCTATGGTGAGCTGTGATCATGCTACTGCACTCCAGCCTGGGTGACAGAGTGAGAAGTGAAATCCTAAGTCAAAAAAAAAAAAAGAGAGAGAAGTGGGATGATAAAAAAAAGAATAACTTCATGATAATCATAAAGAAGAGACAATAAAGCACAATTTTTGGATAATTTTTGATGCTCAGTCTAGACTCCTTATGGTGATACAGAATCACACAGCAAGGGAGTTCCAAGAGGATCTATATACATGCAGTTCCCTGTGCTGCGGCTGGAGAGCCCAGGGCAGCCCGTTGATCCCCTCCACACTGGCCTTCCTGACAATATAAAAAAAACAAACAAGAGTCTTCCCAGGAGTGAAGGTTATGGAGAATTTTTGTCTGGGGAGTGATTAGGCTAAGGAGACAGAAGCTAAACATTGTTTAGGCAGTAGGAGCTTCTGCAGCAGGAATCAAATCTTATGCAGAGCGTAGCAAAAGAGACTCCCACCACTTAGAGCAATGCTCTGGTAACCCTGGACAACTGTTTCATGGTTATCCATGAAATATCTGTTAGTAAATTAAGTACCATAACAAGGTTTTCAGTTTGGCTTCTCAATTTTCTTCAGTGCCTCAGAATAATATACTTGCCCATTTGAACACATGGAACAGATATGACTCAAAACATTTTTACTATTAACACAGGAAAAACAGTAAATGTATATATTTATATATATTTCAGCTGTTATATACGTGGCTACAAGTGAAAGTCTATATGAAAGAAATACTATGTGAAGATAAGACTTTATTAGAAAGTAAATAATTCTTAACCAATGTTTCTCTGTCCATGATTAAAATTTAGCTGTATTATGTTTTATTTTTTTATGTTCCAGGGATTTTGAAGGCAACCATATTCATAATTTAAGAAATTTGACTTTTATTTCCTGCAATAATTTAACTGTTTTGTAAGTAATGTTTTATGCTTTTGAAGTAATATTATATCTCCTTACAAACAATGAATAATTTATGTAGACAAAAACTAAAATAAACATGCATAGTGATTATGGCAAATGTTCACTCAACTTGAAGTTTGTTGAAACTGAAGTATATGACATTCAAATCAAAGATAACCGCAGATTTAAATATACATGAATCATCAAAATGGTTCTGTATTATCCAAGATCTGTTTTTCTCAAACTTAAGTAATATGCAGGCTACTTTAATGGGAAAAAAATTCTCAAAGAACACCAAGAATCTATCGTTGGATCTCAGTTTGCAAAACATTAAAATGAAGTCTTAGTCTATAAGAATGTTTATTCTTTACAAATTGTTACTATAAAAGTTGTTTTTCTTTATATTTGTGCAAAGAAATTTCAGTTACAATCAAAATGAAAAAAAATATTGCAGAATATGCACACCTCTGAGGATACAATTATGAAAGTCAGGATAAACCTTATGTTATTGAGTATAATTTCTCTTTATGTCTCTCTGGCCTATTTTAAATTTACATTGCATCTTCTGTGAAAGTAAATGATGTTGGAGCTTCCTCCATTAGAAAAACCCAACTACCCCATTTACAGATTATTTTTCCAGAATGTTTTCCAAATTATGCATTGTGACTCACTTGTAGGTTATGAAAGCAACGTAGTACAATCAGTTTAGTACATTCAGTCAGCATTTTTTAAAATTTATTTTATTTTAAAGATGTGGGGTACAATTCAGGATTGGGTATACAAATGGTTATTGTACAGGTAAAGTTTGGGCCTCTCTTTGGTCTCCACTTTGCCTGGTTTGAGATCAGGTACCCTTATTAATGTTTTGGACCCCTCTTCTCTCCCCTGGCAATTTTCAGCTACTGCCAATCTCTTTCTTATAGTATTATGGTTAATGTTAAGGGTCTGCTTATGAGTGAGAACATATGATACTCAGTTCTTTGTTTCTGTGATAAATCACTGAGTATTATAGACTGTAAATTCATCCAAGTTTCTGCAAAGTTCATAATTTTGTTCTTCTTTATGGCTGCATAATATTCCATTGTGTATATGTACCACATTTTTTTTGTCCATTCTGGTTTCAAGGGCAGCACGGTTGGTTCCATGTTTTTGTAACTGTAAACAGTGCTGCAATAAACGTGCTTGTGCAAGTACCATTTTTTGTAGAGTGATTTAAGTTCCTCCGGGTATGTTCCCAGAAAGGGGATTCCTAGTCAGCATTTTTAAATAAAATAGAATTGAATTTAACTGATTGTATCAGAATTCAGTGCAGATAATAAACATACTCTTTCATGAGTTTGGGAGGCTGTGTGTGTGTGTTTTATGATCCAATATAAAATAAATGTTTTATTATGTGTTACCACAGGAAAAGTTTGAAAACCATGATTCTAGAGTACATAGGAACCCTATGTATAGGCAATATAATAGCTACCACTGATGTCACAGTATATTTTCTCCAATTATGTCCTGCATTCCAATGGGTTCTGATGAGTTCCAGTTTGAACTCTTCTGCTGAGTGAGTTCAGCAGTCTTCAGATCGGGGTGCTTTAGAACAGTTGAGCAAAATAGTTTACACTAATTACCCAAAGGAAACCCAATTACACCTTAAGGGCACAGAACAAATAGATATCTGAAAAACTTAAAATTTCTTTTCTGCTCTACCTAGTATTTAATTCTAAGAAAACCCCTGTACTAAAATATCCTTTGTGGGTTTCATCTTGACAGATGTGCACTAGGAGAAGGTGGACATAGTTTGAATGCCGGGAGGGAATAAATACTCAAGAATGGGGCAAGGCCAATTTGAAGGCATGTCACACAATGTTTATAAAATTGAAGAACCTTTGATTTTTTTTCAATTTTTTTTTCCTTTTTAAATTTTAAAATCGTTGGGTATAGGTGAGGATTTGTTACATAAGTATACTGCATGAAAGTGAGGTTTAGGCTTCTGATGAGCTTTCCCTTTCCGGTTGTATGATACCCATTGTGTATCCCTTATCTCCTCTCCCTCCATCCTTAGCAGTGCCCAGTGTCTGTTGTTCCTGGCCTTGTGCATTGTGCCCAGTGTTTAGTGCCCACTTATGAGTGAGAACATGCAGTATTCAGATTTTTGTGTTTGTGATAATTCACTTAGAATGATGGTCTCTGGCTGCATCCACGTGGCTGCAAATGACATGATTTTGTTCTTCCTTATGGCTGCATGGTGTTTCATTGTGTATATGTACCATATTTTCTTTATCCAGTTCACTTTTGATGGGCATCTGAATTGATTCTGTGTTTTTGCCAGTGTGAATAGTGTTGCAATAAACATACACATGCAAGTGTCTTTTTTGGTATAGTGATTTGTGTTCCTTTGGGTATATTCTAATAAGTGGAATTGCTGAGTCAAATGGTGGCTCTACTTATAGTTCTTTGAGAAATCTCCAAATTGCTTTCCACAAAGGTTGAACTAGCTTACATTCCCACCAACATTTTAGAAGTGTTCCCTTTTCTCCACATCCATGCCAACACCTGTTATTTTTTTTGACATTTTAATGATAGCCATTTTTACCAGTGTTAGGCGGTATCTCATTGTAGTTTTGGCTTGTGTTTCTTTGATAATTAGTGATGCTGAGCATTTTTTCATGTTTGTTGGCTGCTTGTATGTCTTCCTTTGAGAAGTGTCTGTTCATGTCCTTTGTTCATTTTTTAATGGGACTATTTGTTTCTTTCCTGTCAATTCACTTCAGTTCCTTATAGATCCTGGATGTTGGGACTGTCAGACGCATAGCTTGCAATTTTTTTCCCATTCTGTGGGTTCTCTCTTTACTCTCTTAATGGTTTCTTTTGCTGTGCAAAGACTTTTTCACTTGATAAAGTCCCATCTGTCAATCTTAGTTTTTGCTACATTTGCTTTTGAGGACTTAGCAATGAATCATTGCCTAGGCTGATGTCCAGGAGGCTATTCCCTAGGTTATCTTCTAAGATTCTTATAGATTGAGATTTCACATTTTTTAAGTTCTTGATCCACTTTGAATTACTTTTTGGATATGGTGATAGGTAGGGGTTTGGTTTCATTCTTCTGCCTGTGGCTAGCCAGTTTTCCCAGCACCATTTGCTTAATAGGGTTTTCTTTCACCAGTGTTTGTTTTGTCAGCTTTGTCAAATATGAGTTGGTTGAAGGTCTGTGGTTTTATTTCCAGGTTTTCTGTCCCATCTCACTGGTCAATATGTCTATTTTTATACTAGTACCCTGCTGTTTTGGTTACTGTAGCCTTATAGTAAAGTTTGAAGTCTGAGAGTGTGATGCCACCATATTTGTTCCCTTTCTGAGGATTGCTTTAGTTATTCAGGCTCTTGTTTTGCTTCCATATGAATTTAAGTATTGTCTTTTCTAAGTCTGTGAAAAATGTTGTTGATAGTTTGATTGCATTGAATCTGTAGACTGCTTTGGGTAGAATGGACGTCTTGGTGCTACTGATTCTTCCAATTCATGAGCATGGGATGATTGTCCATTTGTTTGTGACATCTTTGATTTATCTTTGAGCAGTAGTGTGTTGAAGTTCTGTTGAAAAGATCTTTCACTTCTTTGGTTACATGAATACCAAGATATTTTATTTTTGTGTGGCTATTGTGAAGGAACTGTGTTTTTGATTTGGTTCTCAGCCTACTTGTTGCTAGTGTATAGAAATGCAACTGATTTTTGCACATTGATTTTGTATCCTGAAACTTTGCCAAAATCATTTGTCAGTGCAAGGAGGTTTTTGGCAGACTCTAGGGTTTTCTAAGTATAGAATTATATCACCTGCAAAGAGGGATAATTTAACTTCCTCTTTTCTTATTCCTCATTTATTTCTCCTGCCTCATTTCTCTGGCTAAGACTTCCAGTATTATGTTAAATAGGAGTGGTGAGAATGGATATCTTTGTCTCATTCCATTTCATAGGGAGAATGCTTCCAGTTTCTGTCTGTTAAATATAATGTTGACTGTAGGTTTGTTAGAGATGGCTCTTATTATTTTGAGTAACATTCCTTTGATTCCTAGGGGTTCTAGGGTTTTTATCAAGAAGCAATGTTAAGTTTAATCAAATGCTTTTCTGCATCTATTGAGATAATTATGTGGCTATTGTTTGCACACCTGTTTATGTAATAGGTTACATTTATTGATTTGCATATGTTGAACTAGACTTGCATCCTGGAAATGAACCCCACCTGGTCATGATGAATGATCCTTGTAATGTGTTGTTGGATGCAATTTGCTAGTATCTTGTTGAGAATTTTTCCTATGTTCATCAGGAAAATTGGCCTGGAGCTTTCTTTCTTTGTTAGGTCTTTGCCATTTTTGAGTATCAGAATGATATTGGCTTCAAAAAATGTGCTAGAGCTATTGCTTGTAATACTTTCAATAGGATTGATATCAGCTCTTCCTTGTACACTGGTAGAATTTAGCTAAGAAATTATCTGACCCAGGGCTTTTTTTTGGTGGGGAGGTTTATTATTACTAAATCAATTTCTTGGGTTGTTATTGTTCTATTTAGGGGTTCAATATCTTTATGTTTCAGTCTTGGAAGGTTGTATGTTGCTAGAAATTTCTCCATTTCCTCTAGATTTTCTAGCTTTCTCATATACAGATGTTCATGGTAATCTCTGATAATCTTTTATATTTCTTCAGGGCCATTTATAACATTGAATTTTTCATATGTGATTGTGCTTATTTGAATTTTCTCTTTTTGGTTAATCTGGACAGAGATCTGTCAATCTTATTTATCCTTTCAAAGAACCAGCTTTTTACTTGTTGATCCTTTATACAATTTTTTTGGTGTTTATTTCACTTATGTCTGTATTATATTTTAATAATTTCCATTCTTCTACTGGTTTTGGGATTCGATTGCTCTTGTCTTTCCAGCTCCCTTAGGTATGACATTAGACTGTTTACTGGAGATCTCTGTATTTTCTTGATGTGTGCATACATTGTTATAAACTTTCCTCTCAGCACTCTTTTCATAATATTGCAAAAGTTTTGGTATGCTGTGTCCTTGTTTTCATTCATTTCTAGGAATTTTTTAATTTAATTTAATTTTTTTTTTTGAGTTGGAGTCTCACTCAGTCACCCAGACTGGAGTGCAGTGGCCACTCCTGGCCACCGCAGCATCGACCTGCTGGGCTCCAGCGATCCTTCCACCTCAGCCTTCCAAGTAGCTGGAACTATAGGCACGCGCTATCATGCCCGGCTAATTTTTTATTTATTGTAGAGATGAGGTCTCACCAAGTTGCCCAGGCGGGTCTCAAACCCGCAGACTCAGGCAATCCACTCACCTCAGCCTCCCAAGGCACGGGATTACAGGCTGAGCCACCAAGCCCGGCTCTAGGAATTTTTTTATTTCTGTCTTGATTTCTATGTCAACTCAAAAGTCATTCAGAATCATGTTGTTTAATTTCCATGTATTTGTTTGCTTTGGAATGGTTCCTGTTGGTGATTGTATTTATTTTTATTCTGCTGTAGTCTGAGAAGTTGCTTGGTATGATTTTGGCCTTTTAAAATTGGTTCATGCTTGATTTACGGCCAAGAATGTGGTCATTCTTAGAGCATGTTCCATGTGCTAATGGGAAGAATGTTTATTGTGTGGTTGATGAATGAAGTGTCCCATACATGTCTATTAGATTTAATTGGTCCAGTGTTAAGATCTCAGATTTCTATGTCAGTTTTCTGCCTCAATGATCTGTCTAAAGCTGTTAGCAGGGTATTCAAGTCTCCAACTAATATTATATGGCTGTCTATGTCCTCTCTTAGATTAACTAGCAATTGTTTTATAAATCTGGGTGCTCCTATTTTGGGTGTGTACATATTCAGGATGGCTATTTCTCACTGGTAAATTAAGTCTTTTATCATTATGTAGTACCCTTCACAACCCTTTTTAACTTTTATTGGTTTAAAGTCTGTTTTATCTAGTGTAAGAATAGCTATTCCTGCTCTTTGTTTGTTTGTTTGTTTTCCATTTGCCTGGAAGAGTTTTCTCCAATCCTTGAGCCAGTAGGTGTCATTTGCAGTGAGATGGGTTTCCTGAAGGCAGCAGAAAGAAGAATCTTGCTCCTGTATCCAATTTGCCAGTCTGTGCCTTTTGAGTGGTGCATTTAGCTCCTTCACATTTAAGTTAATTATTGATATATGGGGGTTTGTGCCTGTCAAATTGCAATTAAGAAGATGGTTTATGTTCTAGTCTTTGTGGTTGATTTGTATGATCTGTAAACTCTGTGCTTCCCTATGCTTTTGCAATGGGTGGAATCATTCCTTCATTTCTGTACTCAGAACTTTCTTAATCATCTCCTGAAAGGCTAGTCTTGAGGTGATATGTTCTCTTAGGTATTGCTTGTCTGGGAAGGAATTTAATTTTCCTTCATTGATGAAGTTTAGCTTGGTGGGGCAGGAAATTCTTGGCTGGAATTGCTTTTCACCAAGAATGTTAAAGAATTTTCTTCGAGAATGTTAAAGATTCTGACCTTTAAAATTTCTGCTGAGAGGTCTGCTGCAATTCTGATTGGTCTCCCTTGGTAAGTGATCTGTCCCTTCTTCCCAGCTGCCTTTAAGATTTTTTTTCTTTCATGCTCACCTTGGTAAGTCTGATTATTATGTGCTTGGGGAAGAACTTCTCATATAATATCTCCCAGAAATTCTCTGAATTTCTTTTGTCTGCACAGTCATCTCTCGGAAGAGATAAGGGAAGTTTTCTCGGATGACATCTTGGAAGGCTTGTTCCAGGATAGTCTCAAGAATGCCAATCTGCCACAGAGTTGGTCTCTTTACATAATCCCATATCTCTTGTTGGCTTTGATCATTTTTCCAAATTATTTTCTCCTTATTTTTGTCAGACTGAGTTAATTCAATAAGTTTATCTTCAAGCTTGGAGATTCTCTCTTTTGCCTGGTCGATTCTGCTTTGAATTTTGATTTCTGTTTTGAAATTCCAAGAGAGAAGTCTTCATTTTCAGAAGTTCAGTTTGGTTCTTTCTTAAGATGGTCAAGTCAGCTTTCACTTCCTGTACTGTTTTCGTGGACTGGATGATTTGGGTGTCTACTTTCTTCTGGAGCTCATTGAATATTTTTGCCATCCATAGTCTGAATTCTTTGTCATCAGAGACAGATCATTCTGAATAGATTCCATTACTTGGTATCTGAGAAGTCCTTTGTAGATATCAAATCATTGTAGCTTTGGAGATTGCTGGTGTTTTTTTGCTGGTTCTTCTTCATCTGCAAGGGCAGTGTCTTTACTTTTTCTTTTTGTTTTTTAATTTGATAAAGTTGCTATTATTGGGGTGACAGCTTGTATTCTCTTACTTGACCTGATGAAGTCTGGTAGGGGTAGGACAATTCCTTTCCTCCAGACCAAGGGCTTTCTCCTTCCTCCAGCACAAGTGCCAGCAGCTCTGGATGGCCCAGGTTCTGGTGTCTCCCTTCCCAGTCCACACATCTCATCAGCAGGATTGGAGGGCAGCCAGGAGGGGCCCCAGGCCATACTCTGTCACAGTTATCCTGGGGGCATGAAGTGACCTCTTCCTTCTACATGATTCCACTCCTCTCACACAGAGGCAGAAAAAGAAACAACTGCCTTGCTGGCAGAGACCTGGTGTTTCTCCCTCAGCTCACAAGTGGGCAGAACCACCGCTAGCTTTGCAGAGATGCACCACCTCCTAGTTCCCATCCTGCTCTGTGCTAGGAGCATTCACAGTGTTAGAAGCCCCTTGATGTCAAGCTGCACTTGAATTCCTAATCTGGAGCTGGGATGGGCACCGGCATTGCTGGATTAATATCCACAAAGTGGGTAGTCCCCCTGGTTAGGGGCTAGAGAGGGTGGGAGGGAAGAGCACCCACATGGCACAGACCCATAGCACGTGCCCAGCAGAGGCTTTCTGTTGGGGGCAGAAAAAGGGTTGGCTGTCTCCAGCCCCAGAGGTTACCAGGAACTAGAGTCTCCCAGACTCCACGTGGAGCCAGCTGATACCCAATACAAGGCAGCTCTCTGCATCTACCTGTTGTGGGAGAAGATGCAGGGGAGGACCTGAACTGGCTCTCCCTTGGCTAGGACTGCACAAGCTCACAAAAACTTTCCTATTCACTCACAGCTTCCTTCTCCAAGAGTGCTCTCTCAATCCTGTGTTGAGACCTCTTCTGGGGGTGGCTCGGGCTTGGAGCTGTCCATTCTCTGCATCCTCAGGTGATCATCTAATAAACCTCAGTATGGGTTTCCAGGCACACTTTCAAAGCACCAGGATCACTCCCCATTTTTTACTCCTTTGCTGAGAGCAGCAGTCGTCTTATGTCTCCATTCAGCCATCTTGACCCTCCCTCAAAACTTTTCTGAGTTGGTCTTTGATGCTAACTGATAACAGGAGATCAGTGCAGAAATAAGCTGTCATGAGTTATGGTCTGATTCAGCACAGTATCCCAAACAATAGGTTATTCTGAATTAGTCCAGCTAAGACCAGACTCCTCAGGCAGCTCCACCTTAATCACATCAGCTACCAAAGGAGTATGAGTACTATGGTGTGTAAACTATTTGTTAGACAGATATGCTATGCAGATGAAGAAGATGAGTCTAAAACAGCTCCTTATGCTCTTGGTTGCAAGATATTCACTCTATATTATCAAGAGTTGAGGTTTTCATTGTTTCTCTCGCAAAGTCTTATTTCCCTTAATTTTTAAAATTAGATTTGATTATTGTCATCATTAAAAGATATGGGAAATTTAAGATAAAGTTAAAGTGGATAATTCATCTACTTCAAAATCTCCTGTGAAAAATGCACTGTATGTTCACCATCTGCTTTTCACTGTTAAATTTTTTTAGTAATCTGCGTATCAAGAAGTTACCATGTATTTTTATTTTTACTTTCAGAGTATTGAGGAAAAACAAAATTAATTACTTAAGTGAAAATACTTTTGCACCTCTCCAGAAACTAGACGAATTGTAAGTATGACTGAACATATATTGTTAAGAATTTTCTTTCTACTGTTTTATTTCATATTTGTTGTATATATGCGTGTTTATACATTTAAGAAATAATAATTGTCTCCTCCTTCCAAGCATTATTTATATACATCTTGGGTCACAAAGGAATTCAGGTAGCCTCTAAAAGTATGCATAAAATAAAAATATAAAATATTTGAGGAAAGTGGAGTAAAAGGAAACAGCAGTAGAGAAAGAATAAAACCAGTATAAAGTGAATAAATAAAATGCAGCTTACACCACTCTGTTCCACTGCTAGAGAGGGATAGCAAATGTGCCTTTTAATTTCCTAGCAGGTTAGGATTTGGGGATTATAAGATTAAAAGATACCACTTTTCTGATTCTGAAACTGAAGTATAATCGTGAACCCATAAAGACATTAAACATGGCCATAGATAATATCCTGACTATAGTAATGGAAAGGAGAGATAGGTTAAAACAGTTCTTTTTATAATGCCCTTTTTGAATACCAGGACACAATTCCAGTGGGCAATGAAACATCTCTGTGATGAACCAGAGCTGTGGTCCAAGCACATAACAGTTAATTATCATAATAAAATATATATAGAACAATGGATGAGCCACATATCCTTCAGACTTTTTTATTTTTTAGTATCAATTTCTGGAAAGAATCTGAAATGTAGATAGATCTGCATGTCTTGACAACTAGGCAGTCAGAACTTGATTTATTAAAACATCACCCTACAAATTAAAGAATATAAATAGAATGTGATGAACATAACACCTGGACAGCTTACCTGAGCACTGAGACCAGTGGAGAGAATACACATACCACAAGTAGGAACATTTCTTGGGAAATAAGTATGCATTCTGCTACAAAACATCAATGACCAAGCCATTGAAAACCCAACTTTTTTTCTGTAGTGGTTAGTCTGAAACATTTTTTGATAGGCAATACCAATCATTCACACAATGTGCAGGGAAATCTCCATGGATAAATAGAACCAAGCATGTGTTGCAACAAACCTGGTATTCGGTGTTTGAACCATGGCATCAGCTCAGAGGAAACTCTTCTCAACAGCAGGGAGAAATGCATCTGGGTCACCCAAAGTGTTAGCTAGCTCCTCGAAAACAAGCTAGTCAAGGGATGCATACTTTTCCTTATTTTGTCCTACTTGAAATCACTACCTGAATGCCAGAGGCTAGTTCCTCCAAATCTTGACCTTCGTGGTGCCAGTTGGGTATAGATTTTTGCATCAGTAACCAGTAGTGAACATGGAACACAAGCATCTTAGTCCATTACCAGTGCTAATCAAGTGCAAAAGTAAGGAAAGAACAACAAAGGCTACAGAGAGGGTAACCAAGGTCAGTAATTAGCCCCGCATAAAGCCCACCTGATCCCACAGTAAAACACTTGCCTTAAAAATCAGAACAAGCTGGGCTCAGTGGCTCAGCCTGTAATCCTGCACCTTTGGGAGGCTGAGGTGAGTAGATTGCCTGGAGCCTGCGGGTTCAACCCGCCTGGGCAGCAAGACCTCGTCTCTACAATAAATCAAAAAATCAGCCAGGCGTGGTAGCGCATGCCTGTAATTCCGGCTACTTGGAAGGCTGAGGCGGAAGGATCGCCGGAGCCCAGCAGGTCGAGGCTATGGTGGCCGGGAGCAGCCACTGCACTCCAGTCTAGGTGACAGAGTAAGACTCCAACTAAAAAAAAAAAAAAAAAATCAGAACAAGAACAAAAATGGCATTTTTTTGGTGAGGTGAGGGTATTCAGTGGATGGGTCTTAATCTAAACTGTCCTAAGAGAGGGCTGGCCTCCACGCTGTGACCCTCCAGGCTCAATCACACCAATGGAGTTAATGAGGACAGACAATCCAGATTCACTTGTCACAGAGGACCTTAAGTAGTTTTAGTGACAGAAAACATTGGTTTAAACCACATACTTTATTTAATTTGAGCTTTTAAAGTCAACTACTCTATGAAATAATGAACATCAAAGCCTACAAAAGATGGGAGAGTGGGAAGGGGATAAGGTTGGAAAAATTACCTGTTGGGTACAATGTTCATTATTTGGGTGGTGGGTACACTCAAAACCTAAACTTCACCACTATGCAACATATGCATGTAAGAAACCTGCACTTGTATCCCTTACATACGTAAACAAACAAACAAAAAAATCTTAAGGTGGGTATGGTGGCTCAAACCTGTAATCCCAGTACTATGGGAAGTTGAGACCAGAGGATTGCTTGAGCCCCAGGAGTTCAATGCCATAGTGAGCTATGATTGTGCTACTGCACTTCAGCCTGGGTGACAGAATGAGACCCCAGTTGCAAAAAAACCCCAAAAAACAGAAGTAGGCACTAGGTAACCTAAGATGAATAAGTATAGTTCTTATACTCAAAGAGCTCACATCCTTCAAAAGGGGAGCACATATGCACAGAAACAGTTTTAATGTAATGTTATAATGTGCTTTATGTGCCCTGATAGAAATATTCAGGAGGAATATATGTGCATGAGAAAACAGAACAGAACACCTAACCTTCCTAGGCATCAGAGGTTTCACAGAGGAATGACAGTTAAGTGAAGTCTAGAAGGATAAATGAAGAATATGAGAGCATCAGCAGGGTAAGAAGGAACGGTCATTACAAGTAGAAAGAAGCATTCATGCAGATGCATCCAAGTTGGAATACTGAGGTACATGCAGACAGAGTAAAAGCTATTTGAGTAGAAAGTGGTAGGAAATGAGGTTGGAAAGATAAACAATCAGTAGCCAAATATTTAGATATTTAAAGGCTTTTTAAGTCACACTAAGCAGTTTCTATTTCTTCTAGGCAAAGTGAGCTATTGAAGGATTTTATGAAAGGGATAAAATGTTTAAAAGATTCATTCTTGTCAAATCAGAGCAATCTATCTTGGTAGACAATTCACCCATAAATAAAACCACAAAATAGTCTATTTTTGTAAATAACAAAAACAGCCTGATGTTCAGTTTACAGCAAAGATGTTTATAATAGTTGGAAGAGTATATTAGCCACTTATTTTTAATTTTAAAACTTCAGCCTAAACTTATCCTGCCCTTCAAAGTCAAATAATCTAACTTTTGACTTACAAACAAACCAGCATATGTAACAAATACATCTATTCTTCAACTTAACCCAGTGACAGCTAATAGGATTTAAAGATGGTTAGGGAAGTGGTTGGGCTCTCTCTCTCTCTCTCTCTTGGTATCTCTTGATCACCTTACAGAGCCCAAACCTATTGAACTTTATCTTGTATAGAAGAATCTGAAGCTTTTCACATGAGAACTGCCATCATCAACACTATCATGCGAGTTGAACTAAGCTACAAGGTCACACCATGTTAGGCAGACCCTAACACATACATGAGATGGCACACGAAGTATTCTGCCCCAAAAGACTATGAGGTTTGGGTATGTCAACTGTGAAAAAAACTTGCACTTGAAATGGTGTGCTTCCATTTGATAATCATAACAAAACTAAGCAAAAGAAAAAAAACAAAACTCCAAACCACGTTCCTACTCTAACACACACAAAAAAAGAAGGAAGTAGGGAAAGGAAGAAGGGGCACAACACCTATATTAATTAGAATTAGAAAACTGAATCAGACTGGGCTCCGTGGCTCAACCTGTAATCCCAGCACTTTGGGAGGCTGAGGTGAGTAGATTGCCTGAGCCCAGCCCAGGCAACTTTGGGAGACCTCGTCTCTACAATAAATCAAAAATTAGATGGGCGTGGTAGTGCACCTGTAGTTCCAGCTACTTGGAAGGTGGAGGCGAAAGGATCGCCTGAGCCCAGCAGGTTGAAGCTGAGGTGGCCATGAGTATGCCACTGCACTCCAGCCTGGGTAACGGAGTGAGACTCCGACCACCAACTCCAAAAAAACAAACAAACAAAAAAGAACCTGGATCTTAAAACTAGATAAAATAACTTCATGTATATATCTCTAAGGGAATGATGAATATTTTTATATTTTCCCATTTTGCCTCCTTTTTTAAAAACTTTCAGACATCTATTAATTAATATAATTAGCAGTGGCATTGTTGGAAATTTGTGTAATGGTTTTCTAATGAATTTCAGGACAATGAATAAAGTCTTAAGAAAATAATATGTAGTAGGAAACTATGGGGGGGGATGGGAGATGGGATTAACGGTAGTAAATATCTGTCTGGGAACGGGGAGACACCTCTTATCAACAAGGGTGCCTGAACGAAGCATATTTGTATACCTAACCCTTAACTGTACCCCACAATATCACAATAAAAATATGGATTATAAAAAAAAGAAAAAAGAAAATAATATAACATGTTTGCAATTATTTTCCTAGGGATTTAGGAAGTAATAAGATTGAAAATCTTCCATCACATGTATTTAAGGATCTGAAGGAGCTGACACAATTGTAAGACTCATATTAATATTGTCACTTCATTTCTTTATTATTGTTTAAGTTGTAGTAAAACATGCATAACATAAAATTGGCCATTTTTAAATGTATGGTTAAATGGCATTAACCACATTCACATTGATGTGCAACCATCATCACCAACCACTTCTAGAATGTTTTCATCTTGTAAAACTGAAACTGTAACCATTAAACCTGAACTCTCCATTCCCACCTTTTCCCCAGCCCCTAGCAATCACCATTCTACTTTCTGTCTCTATGAATTTCAACTACTCTAGGCACCTCGTATAAGTGAAATAATACAATATTTATCCTTTTGTGTCTGGTTTATTGCCCTTAGCATAATGTCTTCCAGGTGCATTCATGGTGTAGCATATATCAGAATTTCCTTCCTTTTTAAGGCTGAAAAACATTTCATTTTATGTATATATTGCATTGTGTTCATCCAGTCATTAATTAATGAGCATTTGGGTCGCTTCCCCCTTTTGGCTATTGTGAGCAATGCAGCTATGAACATGGGTGTGCATATCTGTTCAAGCCCCTGCTTTCAATTCTTTTGGCTATATACTCCCAGAAGTAGAATTGCTGGATCATATGGTAATGTAATTATATTTTTATTCTATATTTAATTCTGTTTTCCATAGGAGTTGTACCATTTTATATTTCCATTAGCGGTGCACAAGGGTTCCAATTTATCCACATAGCATGCATATTTTCCGGGTATTTTGTTTGCTTGCTTTTTGTTTTTGTTTTTTTGTTTCGTTTTGGCCAGGGTCTCACTCTTTCACCCAGGCTAAAGTACAGTGATATGATCAGGACTCACCACAGCTTCCACCTTCTAGGCCTTTCACCTCAGCCTCCCAAATAGCTAGGACTATAGGATGCATCACCACACCTGGCTAATTTTTTGAGTTTTTGTGTGTTGCCCAGGCTGGTCTCGAACTCCTGGGCTCAAGAGATCCTCCCACCATGGCCTCCCAAAGTGCTGGGATTACTGGCGTGAGTCACCATGCTCAGCTTTTTTTCTGGTTTATTGATAATAGTCATCCTAATGGATGTAACTTGGTATTTCTCAATGGTTTTGATTTGCACTTCCCTAATGATGACTGATGTTGGGTATCTTTTCATGTCCTTATTAGCCATTTGTGTATCTTCTAGAAGAAAAGTCTATCCCTTTGCCTATTTTTTAATTGGGTTGTTTGTTTGTTTGTAGTTGTTGAGTCATAGGAGTTATTTTTTAGAGTCTGGATGTGAGCCCCTTTCAGACATATATTTGCAAATATTTTCTCCCATTGCATAGGTTGCCTTTTCACTTTGCTGTAATGTCCTTTGATGCACAGAAGTTTTTAATTTTTATGCAGTCCAGGTTTTCTATTTTTTTTTCTATCCATGCTTTTGCTGTCATATTCAAAATGACAATAAATGTCATTGGTGTCACGTTATGAAGCTTTCCACTATGATTTCCTCTAAGAGTTTTATAGTTTTCACTTTTACATTTAATCCTTTAATCCATTTTTGGTTAATTTATGTACATGTTGTAAGGTAGGCATCTAACTTCATTATTTTGCATGTGGATGTCCAGTTTTCCCCAACACAATTTTTTGAAGAAACGATTCTTTCCCCCATTGAATGACCCTGGCAACCTTGTTGAAATCATTTGGCCATATTTATGTGGGTTTATTCTATTTCTGAAAAAAAAAATCAGTGGGAGTTTTATAAGAGATTACATTGAATCTGCAGATCACTTTGGGTAATACTGACATCTTAGTAATATTAAGGTCAGGTGTAGTGTCTCAAGCCTGTAATCCCAGCATTTTGGGAGGACGAGGATTGCTTGAGCCCAGGAATTTGAGACAAGCCCGGGCCACAAAGCAAGGCCCTGTCTCTACAAAGTATAGAAAAATTAGCTGGGCATAGTGGTACACACCTCTAGTCCCAGCTACTCAGGAGGCTGAAACAGGAGGTGAGCCCAGAAGTTCAAGGCTGCGTTGAGCCATGATTGTGCCACTGCACTACAGCAACAAAGTGAAAATCTGCCTTAAAAAAATAGTAAGTCTTTCAATCCACGAACACAGAATAGCTTTCCTTTCACTGCTGTCTTCATTTGTTTTTTTCAACAATGTTTTATAGTTTGCAGGGTGCATGTCTTTCACCTCCTTTGTTAAGATGATTTAAGTATTTTATTTTTTGAATGCTATTGCAAATAGAATTATTTTTCTAATTTCCTTTTGGGATTGTTCACTGTGTATAGAAATGCAACCGATTCATGTGTATAGATTTTGTATCCAGCAACTTTGCTGAATTCGTTAACTCCAACACCATCTGTTGTTGATGTTGTTAAATCTTCAGTGTTCTACATGTAAAAACATATCACCTGCAAACAGATTATTTTTCTTCTTTTGAGTTGGAGTCTCACTCTGTCACCCAGACTGGAGTGCAGTGGCCGCTCCCGGCCACCGCAGCCTCAACCTGCTGGGCTCCGGCGATCCTTCCGCCTCAACCTTCCAAGTAGCTGGAACCACGCCTGGCTACTTTTTGATTTATTGTGGAGATGAGGTCTCGCCAAGTTGCCCAGGTGGGTCTCGAACCCTCGGGCTTAGGTAATCCAGTCACCTCAGCCTCCCAAAGCGCGGGATTACAGGCTGAGCCACCAAGCCCAGCTTATTTTTCTTCTTCTTCTCCAATTTAAATGTCTTTCATTTCTTTTTCTTACCTTATTACTCTGGCTAGAACTTGACTCAGCCTATAATCCCAGCACTTTGGGAGGCCAAGGTAAGAGGATTGCCTGAGCCCAGGGGTTTGAGACCCGCCTGGGTAACTCGCGAGACGGCATCTCTACAGTAAATCAAAAAATTAGCCAGGTGTGGTAGTGCGCGCCTGTAGTTCCAGCTACTTGGAAGGCTGAGGTGAAAGGATCGCTTGAGCCCAGGAGTTCGAGGCTGCGGTGACTGTGAGCACTCTGCACTCTGTCGCCATTGCACTCCAGCCTGGGCGACAGAGTGAGACTCGGACTCAAAAAAAGAACTTCCAATTCTATGTTGAATAAAAGTAGTGAAAGGCATCCTTCTTTTGCCTAATCTTAGAGGAAAATTTTTGGTCTTCCACCACTGAGTGTTTGAGCTGTGGGTTTTCATGTATGTCCTTTATTATGGGAGGTGGTTTCCTTCTTTCTTTAGTTTGCTGAGTCCCCTTCATTTCTTTTATGCAACTCATTTTTCATTGCCATTCATTCTCTCTTTTCTTCTTTCTTTAACCATGGCTCCCCCCAGAAGTTTCTTCTAGGCCCCACCTAACTGATGGTCTAATCTTAAGCAATTTTTATTTTTTTTGAGTTGGAGTCTCACTCCGTTGCCCAGGCTGGAGTGCAAGTGACCGCTCCCGGCCACCGCAGCCTCGACCTGCTGGGTTCCAGCGTTCCTTCCACCTCAGCTTTCCAAGTAGCCGGAACTACAGGCGTGCACTACCACGCTTGGCTAATTTTTGATTTATTGTAGAGACGAGGTCTCGCCAAGTTGCCCGGGCTGGTCTTGAACTCACGGGCTCAGGCAATCCATTCGCCTTGGCCTCCCAAAGTGCTGGGATTACAGGCTGAGCCACCGAACCCAGCCGCAAATGTTTGTGAAAAGAGAACTTTTCCTTTAATCAATGATTCTTGTTTCAAAGTGTTGTTTTACAAAGATTCAGAGATTTTCTCCCTTCAAATTGAGCTTTAAGTTTCCTTCAAGGAGGCAGGCATCGGTAGTCCCAGAGACTCCGGAAGCTGACGTGGGAGGATCTGTGGATTCTAGGAGTTGGACTCCAACCTGGGCAACATAGTGAGATCCTGTCTCTAAATTGATTAATTGATTAATCAATTAATTCCATTAAAAGTCTACTTTTCATTTCATGTCTCACAAATCACAAGTACAATATGTTACTCTTTAACATAAAATTTCTTGTAAAAGGCATGTCATGTAATTCCATTAATTGATTTTTTGACTAAATAAGATTCTTTTATTTCGTTGTATTTAAACCACCTCTAAGCCTAGCCAAAGTGTGACTTCGGTGTGAGTCTCTCTGGGTACTCTCCCACTTCTCTGGTGGGAGCCTTTCCTTGACAGCTCTGCCTAGGTGCCCATGTTGTAATACCTCTCACTCTATCACGGTCATAATCATAGAATACTCACTACAAGCCAGGCACTGCTCTCAGTGTTTTGTCTTCATTAATTCACTTAAACGTGCAATCACCTCTATGAGGCAAGTGCTATTACTACACATTTTACTTAATTGACAAATGAAAGTTGTATATGTTTATCATGTACATTTATTTATTAATTGACAAATGAAAGTTGTATATGTTTATTATACATCGTGGAATGGCTAAGTTGTGCTAATTAACATACCCATTACCACATATACTAATCACTTTTTTGTGGTGAGAACATTTAAAATCTACTCTCTTAAGAATTTTTTTCCTTTTTCTTTATCTCTCAGCAATTTTGAGGAATGTAATACATTGTTATCAGCTATAGTTACCCTGTTGTACAATATATTTCTTAAACTCATTACCCCTTTCTAACTGAAATTTTTTACCTTTTGGTCAACATTCCCCAATCGCTTTCTCCTGCCAGACCCTGGTAACTACTATTCTACTGTCTACTTTTATGAGTTCAACTTTTTTAGATTCCATATATATGTGAGATCATGCAGTATCTTCCCTCTGTACCTGACTCATTTCACTTAACATAATGTCCTCCAGGTTCATCTGCACTATTGCAAATGACAACATTTCCTTTTCAAAAAGCTGAATAGTGTTTTGTTGTTCCTATATACCATATTTTCTTTATCCATTCATCCTTTGATCTACACTTGCACTGATTTTACATCGGCTATTGTGACTAATGCTGCAATGAACATTGTACAGATGTCTCTTCAACATACTGATATCATTTCCTTTGGATATGTATCCAACAGTGGGATTGCTGGATCATGTGATATTTCTATTTTTCATTTTTTGAGGAACCTCTATACTATTTTCCAAAATGGCTGTAATGAATATACATTTCCACCAAGAATATGCAAAAGTAACCTTTTCTTCACAACCTCACCAGCACTTTTTATCTATTATATTTTTTACAATAGTCATTCTTATCAGTATTAGGTGATATTTGTTGTCTTAATTTGCATTTCCCTGATGATTAGTGATGCTGAACATTTTTTCATATATGGTTAGCCATTTATATGTTTCTTTTGAGAAATGTCAGTTCAGTCCTTTACATATTTTTTAATGGGGTTATTTGTTTCTTTGCTATTGATTTGTTAAAGTTCCTTATATATTTTGGATACTAACCACTTATCCAGATGTGTAGTTTGCAAATATTTTGTCTATTCCATAGGTTTTCTCTTCACTTTGTTGATTGTTTCCTTGGTTGTGCCAAGGCTTTTAAGTTTGTTGCAATCCCATTTGTCTATTTCAGTTTTTGGGTTTTGGGAGCACTGTCCAAAAAATGTCATGGAGTTATCCCACCAATGCCACTATCTCCACCGATGCCATGGAGCTTTCCCCTTGTGTTTTCTTCTAATACTTTTACAGTCTAAGGTTTTTAATCCCTTTTGAGTTGTACTATACTTTTTTTGGCAAATGTTTAAAAGTAATCAAAAGTCAACAGATATACTGTTTCTTTATTCGAGTTATTTTTTTAAAATGACTTATTGTTGCCTTTTGTTTTAAAAACAGGAATCTTTCCTATAACCCAATTCAGAAAATTCAAGCAAACCAATTTGGTAATCTTGTCAATCTCAAGTCTCTGTAAGTACACACATATGGGGATACTTTTATGATGAAATTGTTATTTAAATACTAATAACATATGTTTTTAAAGAATCTTTCAAGTGACAAGCTTTATTTTCAGGATGTTATTTAAGCTCCACAAAAGCATGTAAGATGAGTGCTTGATGGACAAAAAAAAGATAGCTACTAGTTTTATCTTACATATTTATAAATTAAAAATTAATAATAATGAATCTTTATATTTTTCTATAAGCCATCAAGAACTTATATTAGATTGCTTACTTTGACCCTCTAATGGCAATTTATTACTGTGTTAGCACTAGGTATTTAGGAATTTAAGCATCTTTACCCCAAGATGGAATATTCTAGATTCTATAAATCCTCACTTGCAACACACACACAAAGACAAAAATTATATTAGGGAATAAAAATTGCCTTAAAAAAATAAGCTTTAACTCATTTAATTTAAGTGTTTCCTCAGTAAAATTGCATTTTATTAGAAAAAAATTTATTACTTAAAAACTTCAAAAATGTAAAACTCCTCTTATTATAATATTGTCCAAAAGATAGTGCTTGTTCATTTATTCCACAAAAACAGTAATTACCTTTTAAAACTTTGATATTGGTAAGAGTGACTTTTAGTTTTCCACAGTCTAGTAGAATCTCAAATTTTTTTTAATGTCAGGAAGCATGAGTGTGAGGGGAACCCACTCAGTCTTTATATTATGTAATTAATAAGCACAAAGCATTGTGCCATGATCTGTGAGGATCCAAAAAAACCAATTAGGGAGGATATATGCATATAAATAACACAATCAAAGAGAGAAGGAGATGGGAAGGTGCCCAGTGTGGGCTGAGTATGAATATTTTGTTCAGAATAAATAGTGACTAAAAGCATGTTATTAAACTGAACTTCATAAAAAGTCAATTTAATATGCCATGTATAATATATGTTATTTTAATTGACTATTAATTTGGCATTTTTAGCAGCCTAGAAGGAATTGAAATTTCAAATATTCAACAAAGGATGTTTAGACCTCTTATGAATCTTTCTCACATGTGAGTAGATGTTTTTCTTGTTTTCTTGTTCTTCACTCTGATTTTAATATTTTCATATATATTGCAATAATATATCCATACTGATACATCTAATAAATGGCATTTTCTACTAATTTGCCTGCTATAAACTGAATGTTTGTGTCCCTCCCAAATTAATGTGTTGAAATCCTAACCCCAATGTGATGGCAACAAGAGGTGGGACCTTTGGGAGTTGATAAGGTTGTGAGGGCAGAGCCTTCATTAATGGGATTGGTTTTTTAAAAAAAGAGACTCTAGGGCCACACCTGTAATCCCAACACTTTGGGAGGCCAAGATCACTTGTGCTCAGGAGTTTGTGACCCATCCAGGCATCATAACAAGACTCTGTCTCTATAAAAAATAAATTTTGAAAAATGTGCCCAGATGTGGTGGCTCACCTGTCATCCCAGCACTTTGGGAGACCGAGGCCAGAGGATTGCCTGAGCCCAGGGGTTTCAAGACCGGCCTGGACAACTTAGTGAGACCTTGTCTCTACAATAAATCAAATAAATTAGCCATATATGGTGGCATGTGCCTGTGGTTCCAACTATTTGGAAGGCTGAGGCAGAAGGATCGCCTGAGGCCAGTAGGTCAAACCTGCAGTCACTATGAGCATGCCATAGCACTCCAGCCGGAGTGACAGAGTGAGCCTCTGACTCTCTGTGTGTGTGTATATATATATATATATGTGTGTGTGTGTGTGTGTGTGTGTATATATATATATATATATATGCTGGGTGTGTTGCTGTGTGCCTGTAGTTCCAGTTACTTGGGAGGCTGAGGCAGGAGGATTGGTTGAGCACAGGAGTTGGAAACTGCAGTCAGCTATAATTGCACCACTGCACTCCAACTTGAGTGATAGAGCAAGACCTTTTCTCAAATAAGCAAATAAATAAATGTAAATAAAAGAAACTCTGGAGACCTCCCTTGCCCTTTCTACCATGTGATGACACAGCAGAAAGATGGCTACCTGTGAACCAGGGAGCAGGCCCTCACCAGACATCAAATTTGCTGACATCCTGATCTTGGATTTCCCAGCCTCTAGAACTGTGAAAAATAAACGTTTAAGCCATTCAGACTATGGTATTTTTGTTGTATCGGGCCAAATGGACTAAGGACATGCCTAAATAGTAGTTACTTTTTAAAAATTTGATATTGGGAAGGGTGAGTTTTCATTTTCCACAGTCTAGTAGAATCTCAAATATTTTTTGAAATTTAGGAAACATGAGTGTGAGGGGAGCACACTCAGTCTTGTCAGAAGTTCTCCTCAACTCTAATACCATTCACAGATATTGATGTTTGCCTAATAAGCTAGTAATTTGTATGCATAACATACGTGCTGGCAGGTAAAGAAGGAATGTATATAAATAATATAAAATAATTAGAAATAATTGCTGTAAATTTTAAAAAAGGTAGAGAGAAATCCTCCACAATGAAAATTGCCCCTAATGTCCTGGCATGGTTGGAGCAGTAAACATGGATGAAATGGTAAACTTAGAAAACAATTTTTTTTAATTATTATTATTATTTTCTAGAAACAGAGTCTCTCTCTGTCACCCAGCCTGGAGTACCGTGACACAACCATAGCTGACTACAGCTTCCAACTCTTGTGCTTAAGCTATCCTCCCCACTCAGCCCCAGAAGCACTAAGATTATAGGCCTGACCCACCATGCCCAGTTCTGAAAAATCTTTTATTCAAACAATGTGTTTGGTTGAACCTTTGATTACATGCTTTAGAAGCATTTGTTTCATTGAATACAAGCTCATAGAAGGTATTAGAATGACCCATGCTGTGGTAATTAATTTTCAATAGTTTAAAAAGTGTCTTGTCAGCCACCACCACCTCTATAATCTTGCTTGCATTTTAGTCTAATACAGGGCATTGTTTTTATTTTCTATAATTCCTCAGAAAGAATGTCTCTAAAAGATTCCTTAGTTGCATACAACATAAGGCAGACTGACTAAATTAACCAAAACAGTTTATTGGAAGAAAATTGTGTTGCTCATAAAATCTAAGAAACAACTAAAGGAACAGACTTGAATTGGGCAGAACCCATAGCAAAACTAAGCAATAGTCTTATCCAGGCTCTGCTGGAAATATCCATCCAAGTGTCATTCAGTAAGATTCAGAATTACAGGAAAAAGAGTCTAATTGATCTTCCCTGAGGACACTTAACTACTCTGGGTGCAGGGAATGCCTCCACGGAAGGGTCCGTCATGACTTCTCACAGGGCAGAGAAGAAACTCCTTCAAAGGAAATCAGGACCAGAAGGGCAACTGGATGCTAGGCAGCCAGAGCAACAAGCAAAGATCTACTATCATTCTATCGATAAAAGCAAGACTTCAGCCTAAGACACACGTGGCACAAGTGCAACAGCAGTGAACGCTCCTTTCTTCCTCATGCTCTGCTCTCTTCTCCTACATAGTTCACAGAGATACAATAGAAGGAAAACATCAGAAACTGGCCTTGAATTTGGCAAGCCACATTGTAATCATCAAGTTTTTATCTTCTGTTACTACAGCTCTTTATACTATAAAGATCTTTTATAATTTTTTCCCAGAACACATAGCTTTACAAGCTATTGTGAATAGTGCTGCAATAAACATGGGGGTTCAGATGTCTCTTTGACATAATGATTTTCTTTTCTTTGAAGAGATTCCCAGTTGTAGAAGTGTATGGTAGTTCTATTTTTAATTTTGGGGGGAACCTCCATATTGTTCTCTATAGAAACTGTACTAGTTTATTCCCACCAACAGTGCATAAGAGTTCCATTTTCTCCACATTCTCACCAGCATTTGTTTGTTTGTTTTTTTAAATCTTCTTAACGGTAGCCATCCTAACAGGTATGAGGTGCTATCTCATTGTGATTTTGATTTGCATTTCTCTGATGATTAGTGATGTTGAGTATTTTTTTCATGTTTGTTGGTGATCTGTATGTCTTCCTTTGAGAAATGTCTACTCAAATCACTTGCTCATTTTTTAACTGAATTGGGGTTTTTTGCTGAAAAGTTTTTTAACATAACTTCTATAACAGAAAAGTCTAGGAAGCACAAAGATGGAAGCATTTAACTCTTCCCCTAAAGGTTAAAAAGCAAGATCAGTTGCAGCAACATTAGGAGCTATGTAACAGTGTATATATATACTAAACACTGAAACCCAATAAAATTTTCTTTGGGTGGATTCATTCTCTTGATCACATGCTAACAGTTTATATGCTAAGGCATGTCTAACACTTGTTGATTTGTTATCAAACTATTTGTTACTCTCACCCACATACTCTTTAACAGTGAAATCAAGTTAATGAGAATTATTTAAATTTAAAGTTTCAGAATCCCTAATGTCTTACAGTCCTCTGAGTCCCACATTAAGACATTTCTTTCTACCACAAAAGTGGAGCAAATAAATATTAATGTATGGTAACGCTTAATAATACTGAAAGTCTTAATTTACCTTCTCTTTTGCACAGATATTTTAAGAAATTCCAGTACTGTGGGTATGCACCACACGTTCGCAGCTGTAAACCAAACACTGATGGAATTTCATCTCTAGAGAATCTCTTGGCAAGCATTATTCAGAGAGTATTTGTCTGGGTTGTATCTGCAGTTACCTGCCTTGGAAACATTTTTGTCATTTGTATGCGACCTTATATCAGGTCTGAGAACAGGCTGCATGCCATGTCAATCATTTCTCTCTGCTGTGAGTATTTCTTGATTAAAGAGGAATTACAGTTTTCAAATCTACAAAAGTATTGCTATTCGAAAATGAGTTGTGGCCGGGCGCAGTGGCTCATGCCTATAATGCCAGCATTTTGGTAGACCAATGTGAGAGAATTGCCTGAGCCCCTGGGTTTAAGACCAACCTGGGCAACTTGGTGAGACCTCATCTCTACAATTAAAAAAAAAAAAATAGCTGGGCATGGTGTCACGTGCCTGTAGTTCCAGTTACTTGGAAAGCTGAGGAAGAAGGATAGCCTAAGCCTAGCAGGTCTAGACTGTGGTGGCTATGAGCATGCCACTGCACTCCAGCCTGGGCAGCAAAGTGAGACTCTGACTTTAATATATATATATACACACACACAAAGAAAAGAAAAGAAGTTGTGTGGGTGGAAATTTATGGAATTTTAAATTTTTGTCCTTTTTGCTTATATGCTGTTTTCACATTGTCTACAATGAGAATTGAATTGATAAGATAGAAAATGTTTTTTTAAACCAGAAAATTCAATCACCTTACATAAATTAATGAAGCTTCATTCATTAGTTTTCTCTCAAATAGTGGTTCTGAAGGCACAATATTTTGTTAAAACATCTAAAATCTTTGACTACAAATGAAATTGCAATTGTCTATGGTCATATGCAGAACTTTATTTACTTTTCTATTTGCATGTGCAGTTCTTAGATATTGACTTCACAGCTAGTTGTTTTTCTGATCTCTGAGCTACTATAATCTTTTCCATTCATAACCAAAATATGAAAACAAGAAAAATGTTTTCAGGTAGCATTCATTTTTTATAAAGTTTTTGAATTGTAATTGCAAGATATTACATTAAGTGATGACAACAAAGAAAAGCAAGAAACCAGGCTTCAGAATGTTTATAGTCTGGGTCAAGGGGCCTAGAATTTATGTATCTGTACTCTCAAAGCAAGCAAAGCATCAATCTGCATGATGTTCTACTTATTTGTGTCTGCTGTTCCATGTACCATCTCCATCCTTGTTCAAAATCTAATGTCTAATTGGTTTTTTATCCCATTGCAAGCTATGTAAGAAACAGAACTAAGAAATTTAGTATTGTATATTGTTAACTGCAAATTTTTGAGTAAGTTCAATTTCCCTGGTGAAGGCTCGAATACAACTTCAGCATTAAAGCATTAGGGTCGACCTTATAATGTATACAGTGATGTGATTTTAAGAATCTTGTGAATGCTTGCACAGTCAAAAGAGATCTCACCCACTTTCTGATATGTAACATTTGCTTAAAAAGCAAATATGTAAAACAGTGTGATACACTGAGAGCTGATTTTAGGGGTGGAAAAACCCAAAAAGAGACAGAGAAAGATATAAAACATGGAAAGAGAGAATCAGAGAGAAAAGTTTTGCTTAGCCTAGCTCTGGGAGGTAATCTGAGTCCCTCAAAAATGTACTGACTGCAAAGCAGTTCATAATTCTTCATTTCTTCTAAATTATAGACTTCAAAATTCATAGTCATTACTCTATCATAGGAACTTCTGAATTACTTTCCCAGAGGTTTCAGATGATGTCTTGAGCGTGGCGAGCCAGGAGAATTTCAGTGAAAGAGCTGAACCAAATCAGGTCATCTTCATCTGGGTCCCTAACTGATGCTCAACATAATTGCATTTTACTTATTTTTTCAGCACTCCTAGGTGATGGGTCTAGAATAGAGAACAAAACAGACAAGATTTCTGCTCTTATAAACTTGCACTGTAAGGAAAATGAGTAAATGATCACAGAATTAACTGTAGAGCGTGCTGGGAGAGTAGTTACCAGAGAGAGTTGATGAATAGGCCCTCATCCATAAATGAATTTTTAGGATAATAAAAATTACCAACATAGATGAAACTTGGCTATTTTTCCTAACATTAAAAATATGACTGCTTATTGATACATTTATTACATGTATTTATTTCTCTAAGCCTGTGACACTTTCTGACCCCTCTAGGTGCCGACTGCCTAATGGGAATATATTTATTTGTGATCGGCGCCTTTGACCTAAAGTTTCGCGGGGAATACAATAAGCATGCGCAGCTGTGGAGGGAGAGTATCCATTGTCAGCTTGTAGGATCTCTGGCCATTCTGTCCACAGAAGTGTCGGTTCTACTTTTAACATTTCTGACACTGGAAAAATACATCTGCATTGTGTATCCTTTTAGATGTTTGAGACCTGGAAAAAGCAGAACAATTACAATTCTGATTCTCATTTGGATTGCCGGCTTTCTGGTGGCTTTCATTCCACTGAGCAATCAGGGATTTTTTAGAAACTACTATGGCACCAATGGAGTATGTTTCCCTCTTCATTCAGAAGATGCAGAAAGTACTGGAGCCGAGATTTATTCAGTGACCATTTTTCTTGGTAAGAAACCCTATTACAAACCCTTATATTCAAATGTTGGAATAACTCACAATATAAAACTCATTATGCCTTCTGATGTTCACATATTTTTATTTCAGATCTTCCAAACAGTTTCTCAGTAAGGATAGGGGTGAATTCTATCAGAAACCACAACAGGAATTTTGTACCCAAATTATCCTTTTGTTATATAAATTCCAATCTGATGCAGTTTAATGAAAGACACTAAAAACTTGTGTTTCATGTATTCACCCTAAAATTACTAAGCAACATATATTTTAGTTCTTTACCCTTTTAATATGAACATAATGATATTTATTATCTTTTCACATTCATGTGTGTAGCCACACATATCTTTGGCATAAGAGTATACATACAACTGTTCTAAACCAGCAATGTAAAAATATTCTCATAGTGCCGCAAAAAGCAATTGAATTATGAAAAAAAATCACTGTACTAGACAAACTTAAAAGCCCAAGATATTTGTTGAATTGACATAATTTCATTTTAATGTACCATTTTAAAATTAAACATTTTGTCACTCTTCACTAGTTCAACTCAAAAAATTCATGATTTTTATGGATCTTAGAAATTCTTTATGAAGAAAAAAAACATGTTAGGGTCTTTGCATCTTTAGTAATAACACCCATGGGTATGTTTTATTTATTTGTTGTTTTGAAAAAATGTTCATATAAATTAACAACATCCCATTGTGTTCTAAATAGGTATTAACTTGGCAGCATTTATCATCATAGTTTTCTCCTATGGAAGCATGTTTTACAGTATTCATCAAAGCACCATAACAGCAACTGAAATACGGAATCAAGTTAAAAAAGAGATGATCCTTGCCAAGCGTTTTTTCTTTATTGTATTTACCGATGCATTATGCTGGATACCTATTTTTGTACTGAAATTTCTTTCACTGCTTCAGGTAGAAATACCAGGTATAACTATTTTTTCCTTTCTGTAAAGAAACAATAAATCTGTTTGTATAGTGTTCTTTTAAGAAAGACAAGATCCTTAACCCTAACCAGTTTCAAGATTATGTCAGAATTTTCTGTACTTTAGGCTCTGCTCATCAATAAAGTGTTTACTGAGAAAAAACTGTTCAGTTTTTTCCATAAACAGTTAAAACATGATTACTATTGGAACAGAGGTACAATGAATGGACAAAATAAATTACACATGGTGTTGGAATTTTGATAGTCACATGCTTAAGATGACCAGAAAGGAACACAGGCCAAAACAATTCTCAAATAATGATTTCATTACTTCTCAGAATGTAAGAAATTTTTCTTCCTGGAATAGATACAATTTAAAGAACATTACTCCGGAGAGAGAGAGAGAGAGAGAGAGACATAATAGAAGCAAACACTCTTGGTATTTAAAAACAATGCGCATCACATCCATTGAGGTGACTATTACTTAAAACACGCACACACACAAAAATAACAAGTGTTGGTGAAGATGTGGAGAAATTGGAACACTGGTGCATTGCTGGTAGGAATGTAAAATGGTTCAGCTGCTGTGGAAAACAGTCTGGCAATCCCCCAAAAAATTAAACATAAAATTACCATGCAATCTAGAAATTCTCCTTCTGGAATAATACCCAAAAGAATGGAAAGCAGGAATTTTAATAGATATTTGTATACCCATGTTCATAGTAGCATTATTCACAATAGCCAAAAGGTAGAAGCAACACAAGTGTCCATAAATGGGTAAATGGATAAGCAAAAGGTGGTATATACAAACAATGGATTATTATTTAGCCTTAGAAAGGAAAAAAATTCTGGCAATGCTGCAATATGGATGAAACTTGAAGGCATTGTGCTAAGTGAAATAAGTCAAAAATGACACGTGTTTTCTTATTCCAGATTTAAGAGGTTCCTGGAGTAGCCAGATTCATAGCTAGAACATAGAATGATGGTTTCTAGGGAAGAGAGAATGAGGAGTTATTGTTTAATAAGTATAGAGTTTCTGTTTGGAAAAATGAAATCGTTCTGGAGATGGATGGTGGTGACGGTAGTACTACAGTGTGAATGTACTCAATGCCACTGAGCTGTACACTTAAAAATGGTCAAAATGGTACATTTGATATTATGTTTATTTTACCACAGTAAAAAATGGTATGTTGTGGTATATTTTACCACAATAAAAATATGTGCAAATATCCTGTTAATTGTATTTATAATGCAGTATACACTCATATTTTAAATATATATATAAATGTTAATTTTATTTTATTCCATGGATGATGATGATATTATCTTACATTTTATGAACAACAAAAAGAGGGATGATAGCATCAATTAAATTATAATACAAATCAGGGTATTTGGTATTTGCATACATACTAGGTGATTTTTAGAATGAGTTTAGCCAAAGATGCATTTGCTGAAATACATATCTGGCCAAAAGCCCCCAAAATGCATACCTATTTTTAAAATCAAATAAATAGCAGAAAAGAAATCTATTCAAGATAAGGCTATGTATTCTGAGATATACTATATATACTATCTAATAATTAAAACGTTTGAAAAGGTATTTAAATTTTCAACAGTATGCTTTTTTCTTAAAATGTAACCACAATAATATGTAATCACTTTATGGAAAATACTTCTACTTAATGGAATACTTTTGTTATGTATTCAAGAAATGCTACTTAGAAAAGAATCCTGTTCTTCCATAGCACTAGCACTCCCCTAAAAAACACTGGCACTCTGAAAAGACATCCTGGAAACACATATAGTGCTTATTTAGTAATTAGTATTTAGACTTAGTATTTAATTATGTGACATCAAAGGAAAACAAGACTCAAAGGGGATTGGGGTGGAAGAAACAAGGACATGGGGGTTTTATACATTGTACACATCTATGAATAGTCACACTATCTCTCATTTTTCTTTTCCAGGTACCATAACTTCTTGGGTAGTGATTTTTATTCTGCCTATCAACAGTGCTTTGAACCCAATTCTCTATACTCTGACCACAAGGCCATTCAAAGAAATGATGCATCAGTTTTGGTATAACTACAGACAAAGAAGATCTACTGACAGCAAAGGAAGCCAGAAATCATACACTCCACCCTTCATCTGGATGGAAATGTGGCCACTGCCGAAGATGCCATCCGAGTTAATGAACCCAGATGATTTCACAGACCCATGTGAAATATCACTAATTTCTCAATCACCTAAACTCAATTCTTATTCATAACTGACTCTGAAACCCATTTCTCCATAGAGAATTCTGTGGAGTTGCTTCAGGAGAAACTCACTGGTGTAAAATGAATACCACAAAATTAATAGTTTATAATAATGGCTAAGGTAAATTAATTTAGAAGGACATGAGGAAAATAAAAGTGACTAATGTTCACCTAATTATATTGATAATGTATATATAAGTATATATTTTGCATAGGAAATTAAGACAAATCTACTTCAGAGAGATTCATTCATTCTTTTAACATGCATTTATTGAGTGCCCACTATGCTCACAGCACTGCAGTAATTCCTGGAAGTAGACAGTATGGAACCTTTTCAATCAGTTTGTATTTAACTACAAAAGACTACACTAAGTCCATCTGCAGCTCCTAGTTTAAAGGAAAGCTTTGTCTGTCATGCATCTCAGAAAACATAAGAATCATAGGCACTATTAAATAAAGATTTAAGGTTTTTGAATATTCAGTGTGATAGCATCATAGAAAACATCTGATTGCAAAATAGAGATATTCTGTTTCAAGAATCCACCTTATCTCTCTTTAAGTCTCCATGCACTTGAGAGGCAACACAACATATTGATTACTATGGGAAAAAAAGAAGCTTCTCTAGAAACTCAAAAAAGCACTTTTCTGCCACTTCCCAGTTTTTCTTTGGGGGTGGGTGGTTTGCTGTAAATAAGCACCACCATATGGGATTGGAATAGGAGAGTAAAAGTATTGTTAGAATCAAATCAGAAAAGCCAGAATGAGAATAAACATTTAGATCAATAGAGACTCCAGAAATAAATTCTCCCATTTTCAGTTCATTTATTTTCAACAAGAGTGCCAAGACTATCAAATGAAGAAAAACTGTCATTTTAACAAAAGATGCCAAGACAAATGGATATTCACATGTAAAAGAATAAAGTTGGACACCTACTTCACTTCATATACTAAAATAAGTTAAAATGAGTCAATAGCCCAAATATAAGAGCTAAAACTAAGAGCTAAGGCTCTTAGAAGAAAACAAAAGAGTGTATCTTCAAGACCTTGGATTTGGCAATGGATTATTAGATATGACAAAAAAAAGCATGAGCAACAAAAGAGAAAAATTGGATAAATGGACTTCATCTAATTTAAAAACATTTGTGCATCAAAGGATATTAGCAAGAAAGCGAAAAAACCTGCCAGAATGGAAGAAAATATTTGCAAAGCATATATATGAGAAGGGCTTAAGATCCAGAATATATAAATAACTTTTACAACTCAACAAAAACAACCCAATTTTTAAAATAGGCAAAGGACTTGAGTAGATATTTCTCTAAAGAAGATATACAAACGGCCAATAAGCACATGAAAAGATGCTCAACATCACTAATTATTGGAGAAATGCAAATTAAAACACAATGAGATAACACTTCACACTTACTAGAAGGGCTGTTATTTAAAAAGTCAAAAAATAGCAACTGTTGAAAAGGATGTGTAGAAATTAATAACCCTTGTGCATTGATAGTGGGAATATAAAATGATATGGCCATTGAGGAAAATTTAGCAGTTCCTCAAAAAATTAATAACATAATTACCATATGGCCTAGTGATTCTACTTCTAGGTACAAATCCAAAAGAATTTAAAACAAGATTCAAATGAATACTTGCATGTAAATGTTCATTGCTTCATTATTTACAATAGCCACAAAATAGAAACAACCCAAGTGCCCATCAACTGATGGTTAAGAAAATGTGATTTATAGATATACAATGAAATACTATTTAGCCATTAAAAGGAATGAAGTTCTGATACATGCTACAACACAAAGGACGTAATATAAACCTATAAAAGGACAAATACTGTATGACTCCACTTACATGAAATATCTAGAATAAGCAAATACATAGAGGCAGAGAGCAGATCGGAGATTACTAGGTGGTGGGGGTTTGAGAGGGTGATAGCTAAGAAGTATAGGGTATCTTCTTGGGCTACAAAAAAATGTTCTAACATTGTTCGTGGCAATGGACAAACAATTGAAGTTATACTAAAAGCCACTGTGTAATACACTTTAGATAGGTGAATCCTGTAATATGTGCAATATCTCAAAGCAGTCATACGGAAAAAGAAAGAGGAGCTAGAATGCACTGATTCTGGAACTTTTCAGGGAAGAAAGGTTTGTATGTACATATTTGTTTCACTCTAAGGAGAAAATAGTTGTCATCGTGACATGACCTTACCGTGTCTGGACAGCCAGTACGCAAGACAGTAACTTTTCAGTTAGTTGCTCTTCTGTGGTCTCTAACTGAGCTATTGGACTTTTTTGCTTTCATAATTTGAAATTTTATTTAGGAAAAAAATGTTTCCAGGTAGTTTTAAATATAACAAAAATGTTTGGAACATGAAAATACTAGAATCAAAAACATAATGCCTTTACTGAGTATGTAAGTGTATAGATTTATTTTGAAAATAAATTACCTGAAATTTAATTCTGCTAAAAACACGGATTGCTTTGAGTTCTTTTTGTTCTTACTTGAAATGCTCCCAAGAAATTTTGTACATGAAAGATGTGGCATATTTCAACAAAACTCAGAACACAATAGAAAACTATAGTTCTGCTTAGAATATTCAAGAATATAACTAATATTTTTATTATAGTAAATAAAATAGACTATAATAACTTTTTATTTTAAAATAGCCTACAAAGAAAAAATTTAAAGCCTATAAAAGCATTTAAGTTATTTTAATAAGATTATTTTAAGAATTACTTATTATTTAGAAGTTTATATTAAGTAACAATAGAAAAAATTCTCCTTAAAAAGATCTGAAAAAGAATAAAAGCTATAATCATGAAAATGGGATGGAAAAAAATTCAGTCTTACAAAAATCATTCTCCTAACCCATTTAAGGACCTTAGAAATGCAGTACACTGGCTGGGCTCAGTAGCTCAGCCTGTAATCCCAGCACTTCGGGAGGCTGAGGCGAGTGGATTGCCTGAGCCCGCGGGTTCAAGACCAGCCTGGGCAACTTGGCAAGATCTCATCCCTACAATAAATAAAAAATTAGCCAGGCATGGTAGCGCACGCCTGTAGTTCCAGCTACTCGGAAGTCTGAGGCAGAAGGATCACCAGGCCCCAGCAGGTTGACGCTGGGGTGGCTCTGAGTGTGCCACTATGCTCCAGCCTGAGCGGTGGAGTGAGACTCAACTCAAAAAAAAAAAAAAAAAAGAAATGCAGTAAACTTACAAAATATACATCTGAAGCTTTCTTTAGCATCTATGATATTTTTAAGTATTTTCTAGAGGTCATTTGGCTTCCTGTCTACTTGGTCTACTCACACTTCTACCCTTCTGCCTCCTCAAATAAAGTAACTTCCATTTAATGTAATAATTACTAATATACTACATAGCTAGCTCCCGCCAGCTTCTATAGGAAGTACACAGAAGCACTCAATTAACCCAGAGTTATGTCAAGTTTTTCTTTCTTAGAATTATAACTTTGGTTTATAATTTATGCACCATGCTCTAGGGCAAACCAATCCTTTAAATCAAGCAAGCCAACATTGTTATAAAATTTGAAAATTTAGCTTTGGTAACATAGTGAGATTCTGTCTTTACCAAAAAAAAAAATTTTTTTTTTTAAGAAATAAAAGCTTACTGTGGTGACAGGAAGCTGCAGTCCAAGCTACTGGGAGGATGAGGCAAGAGGATTGCTTGAGCCCAAGAGTTTGAGGCTGCTGTGACAGATGATTGTGCCACTGCATTCCAGCCTGTGTGGCAGAGCAAGACCCCGTCTTAAAATTTTTTTTTCTTTCAATTTTATCAGGAAAACCTCAACTTGTGTTTTGTTTTTGCTTTTTTCCTGTTTTTAGTTTAAGAACTACTAAGTCAGCGCGCTCATAGGTAATCTCTCCCAAAGTAATGATTGGTGAAACCAAAGCAATTTAGAGAAAGTTGACTTGGAAGTTGAAGGCAAAGAACAAAGGTGAAGGGGAAATATGTAACTGGAATTGAAATGTCACGCATTGCTTGATAAACTAGTTAAGTGAATTGACACACTAGCTAAGAGTACTCAAAAACACACCAAGTTATTTAATTTTTACTAAATTGCTCCTTTTCATGGAAATATTTCACTAGAACCCTTATTCTCTCTCATTGTTTTAAGCCTTTTTCTTATCTACAGACCACGGCAATCTCACCCACTTACCTGCCTTGTTTCTGTGTAATACTGCTGATTCACATTTTTACCTTTAGTTTGTTCTTTCTCCAAAGTAAACCTTTCCACATGAGTGTTTCACTGGCTTTTTAATGTCATCATTGTGTATGGATCTGGACTCTGACACCTTATTCTCCTCAAGATCCTGTCCTGGTGAATGGTACCCAGTGGCCCAAGCTAGAAGTCTGGATCATCCTTCACTCTTTCTTCTTCTTTATCCACCATTTCAAACCACCCAGTCCTCTCTTGATTCAACTTCATAAACATCTCTGACATCCATCTACTTCTCTTCATCTCAGTTCCTAACACATTAACATGGTGTCTCAAGGGGTTATTTGCAATAACCTTCTAAGAAGTCTTTGTACCTACAGTTTTAATTTGGTCAAGTGATCTTTACAGGTTTTTAGAGCTTTCTCCCATCCAAAAAGTAATTTCAGGGGGGAAAAAAAAGTGTTATAGGGTTATAGTTACTGACACAAATATTCTATTTTTGGATGGTATATTATTTTGGGTTCTCCATGGGATAGGAATATATATATATATATATATATATATATAGAGAGAGAGAGAGAGAGAGAGAGAGAGAGAGAGAGAGAGAGAAATTTTAAGAAATTATCTCTTATGTTTATGGAGTCCTGCAAGTCAAAAATCTGCAGCACTGATGTTCCAATACTAGTTCAAAGGTTGGCAAGGTGCCATAGAAGCAGAAAGAATCCATGTCCCAGTTCAAAGGCTGTCAGGCAGGAAGGTAGATGTTTCCAGGCCAAGCCACGAGGCAGAATCCCACTTTGCTAGGTGAGGTCAGCCTTTTGCTGTACTCGAGTCTTCAACTGATAGGATGGGGACAACTCGCATTAAGGAGGACAATCTGCTTTACATAGTCTAATAATGTATATGGCCATCTCATCCAAGAATATCCTCACTGAAAAACTCAGAAAAATGTCGGACTAAATATCTGGGTACCTGTGGCCCAGTCAAGTTGAAACATAAAATTAGCCATCACAGATTTTTCCATTTTTCCAATAAAAATCCTGAAAATTAATAATTCTAAGGGGTGGGTGTGGTGTAGACAAGCATATCAGTTTTGGTGTCAGAGACCCACAGACAGATTATTTTATCTCGGCCTGTTTCTTATTCTGTAAACAGTAATAACACTTTCCTCAGAGCAGATACAGTTACATAAAATAATATATATAAAGCTCCTAACATAGTTCCTGGCACATATTTCATACTCAGAATTTTTGAAACTAAACACATTATTTTTTATGTTAAAAATGTTATCTTGACTTTAGTCTCTTGAGGTTTTTAAAAATTTATATCAGAGTATTAAGTTCTCCTCTGAGGTTTATGTAGAGCTAGTAATGAGCTACTTACCAAGTTTAAAAAAATGTGTAAGTCCTTAAGAAAATGTTGATGCTTTTCTTCCCCATGAGCCCAACCTCTGCCATGAAGCAAACCGAAATATAAAAAGGGATAATTTTTTAAAAAATCACTCATACAAATAAAATGAACTTTTCTGTGGACAACATATGGTAACACAAACTGTAAGTAGAGCTGTGCTCTGGGCGCACCGGACTCGACACTAGCAACTGTAAACATTGGTGCTGAGGAATGAATTAGAAGTGATCATAGAAATCTCACTCTCTGAAGCCAGGGGTTAACCTAAGCTGACCACAACTCAGAATTGGAAATCAGTAACACAGTTTTTTCTTTTCAAACTTACAAGGAAATGTACAGGGAGTTTCAGCATGGGGTCAAGCAAATAGATCTGTAGGACAGGAATAGTAATTTCTCCTCAGCTCTTACACATTCATAGTTAGGACAGATTAACAAGAGAAAAACAAGTACATTTATTAACACATGCTGTGCACATCACACAGGAGAAATTTCAATGGAAGATAACTACAAGCAGTGACTTAGAACTCTGGCTTACACAGAATCTTCAACAAGAATAAATTTGAGAGAAGTGACAAGACAAAGGAAAGCAATTTTAGTCTTCCAGAAGCAAGAAACTGTGGGAAGGCAAATATGTAAAAAGAAACTAACAGTAAGGTTTGTTGGATTCCTCTGGTGCCCTCTTAATTGATAAGCGCTATCTTATCTTGGAACAAGGAAGGGATCTTTCTCAAAGAAATGCTTATGGCTTGCTACAGGTGGGAAAGGCAGTTAAGATAGCCCTTTCTGCAACTTGTTTCTCAAGTGCTTTCAGCTTGAAATAACTTGAAATGCCAAATCAGCATATTTGAGGGTAGCATGTTCAGCTTTCCTTCATATTAAAAGAAGACTCAAAACTGACATTTGCATGGTAACTGAATGACAGATGTAGCATTGAAAGTTGGTACTTAAAGGAACAGCCATACACATGCAAAACCAAATGAAACAGGATTCCAAAAATCACACCATAAGCAAAAACAAATTTTGGTTGGCTTAAACACCTAAACAAAAATTTTGTAACTTTTGGATCACATTTCCTTACAAATCCCAGAAAGCACAAACCACTATGAAAGATTGGTAGATGACATTAAAAAGCATTCAAGGATATTCCCTAATCAAAATGCAAAAACAAACCAGACTACAAAAGATAGTTGATACATACATAACAGATCGTTAATATTCAAAATATGTAATGCCTACAGACTAACAACAAAATAGAAAATGAGCAAAAGATATCAGAAATGACAGTTTCCTCAATATCCTGCTGGTCACATAAGTGGGCATTATTTACTGTGGGAGAAGGCTATCCAGGGGCATGAACACTACGAGGCAGAGATCACCAGACGATCTGGAGGCTGGCTACCACATACAGAACATTTTGTAGTTCACTGAAAACACACCTATGTATTAAAAATACAAAAACACAAACTAACATATATCCCACCTTTAGGACAGTGGTTACTGCTGGGGAGGGACAAGGGGAATCAGACCAAAGAGGTAACAAAGCAAGCTTCAAAATAGCTAGCACTTATATTTATATATACATATGTCCGAAGAAATAAAGCCAAATGCCAACATTTATTAAATCTGCATGACGGGAATACATAAGTGTTCTTTAAATCATTTACCTTTCAAATGTTTGAAATATATCAATAAAAACTTTTAAAATAATAAACCCAAAGAAATGGAAATAAAGTTTGTTTTTAATAAGAGTTTATTTTTGTACATTTTTAAAATTGCAATTTTCTGGACTAATTAGAAAAATATTTTTCTAATACTGAAATAAGCATCTCTTTGGTATAAAAATGACACCATATGTATGATCATTAGTTTTAAAAATTAAAATGATGACTTAATATGCTAAACATGCCCATCCATCTGTCCCCTTTCAATAGCCCACTGTGGGGCTTTGGATATAATTCTGCACACATCTACAGAGAATTAAGATGCCATACCAAAGATGTCTAGAAGTTATATTCAATGGAGAATTCGCTGGCTTATTGCCAAAACATGACACGAACCATCAAAAGGCAATGTAAGATATAGGACAAGCAAAACAGAATATTGTCACTAAGGTCAAATAATATGAAAATAATCATATCATTTATATTTGATACATTGGAAACAAAGTAACTTCTTTAGAATTATTATACAACTTGCAAATCTCCAAAAGTAATAACAAAAAGTCATAAATTTGATAAGGCACTTTAAAGACAACAAACATATAAAAATATCAAATACAAAAAATATTACATGTAAAAGCAGTTAATCATAGAAACAGAGAAAACTAAGCATTCTTTCTACACAATCTTTCATTTCCTAAAGTAAAAACTTTTTTAAAAAATATTACAGAAGGGCAAAAAGTATCATATAAAATTTCTCTAAAAAAATATATGAATCAGAATGTCACTGGGAAAATTTTTGTCCTCTTTTTTTATGGAAATTTGAACTTTAATGATAGCTTTTTAATACATTTTTTAGAGAAAAAATTAGTCTTCATGACCAATTGAAAAATAGCTTTTAACTGTGTCTGTCAACTCTTTATTCAACATTTAGTGAGTGTTGTTTGACACTGTTTTAGGTGTTGGGGATCTAAAAGTTTGTAAGACACAATCACTGAATCTAAACAAATAAAGAGGCCGGGCGCAGTGACTCAAGCCTGTCATCCCAGCACTTTGTGAGGCTGAGGTAAAAGGATTGCCTGAGCCCAGGGGTTCGAAACCAGCCTGGGCAACTTGGTGAGATCTTGTCTCTACAATGTATCAAAAATTAGCTGGTGCAGTAGTGTGTGCCTGCAGTTCAGCTATTTGCAAGGGTGAGGTGAAGGATTGTCTGAGCCCTGCAGGTGGATGCTGGGGTAGCCGTGAGCATGCCACTGCACTCTAGCCTGGGCGATAGAGACTAACAAAGCTGGATCTACCATTGGCAATCTTACAGCAACCTCTCCTGTGCCCTAAGACAAAGCTCAACTTCCAACTCTGCAACACCTGGCATCTTGTTGCAAAACAAATAATGGTTTACTGAGTTTGCTACTAGTAGCATGGGAGCACTGTTGATATTAAATCACTCACTACTGCAGATGTGAATTTACATCATTCCAAATTCTGTTCCTGGTTGCCGCTGACATGAATCTACATCTTTGAAAATTCTGTTTCTGAATGCTGCAACATTGTCATATGTATGTGTTATTATATTTTGCTTGAAAATGAATAGTCATGCAAGTAGAAAATTAATTGAGATAATTATCTGATACCTACTGAGCAATGTTGTTATTGATTTACATAGTTGGTAAAATTGCAAGTTGGTCATTATTTTGTTGAGATAAGTGTTGTATGCTTATATTTTGATATATCAGGGCTTTCATACTTCAGTGTTAAAAATAATTTACCATAACTATGGAAAATGAAGAAATATATACTGAAGAGATTTCCGAGGTCAAAGGTGATCCAGTGAACTTATTAGTGATAGTGAGACAGATAGTGGTGTAATGATGCAATGTAAATGTAATACAGATAATCTACGACAGTGAATCTCATACTGGTGAGAAGGTTTCAGACATTGAGTGGACAAAATATGATCCAAAAAGCAATTTAGAAGTGTTTACTGGTAATCCAAGTGTCAAGGTATTTCCAAATGATCCTCAAAGTGTAAGTGAAGTTGTCAGACTAGTTATTGGAGATGATTTTATAGAAACGATTGCAACTGAAACTAACAGCTGTTATGATTAGATGTATCACACATAAACATGTCCAAAATCAAAAAAGTAGAGCAATATTGCAGTGTCCAAGAAGAAAAATTCTATCATCAAATATTTTGATGGGACAAGTGAAGAAATCACAATACACGATTATTGGTCCTTACGTTCATCAACTGCGACACCTTTCTTTTTTCAAAATTAAGACATGAAATAGATTCCTACAAGTTTTATGGGTTTTGCATTTTTTCAATAATGCAGAAATACAGTGAAATTCAAGCAGATTATGCAAAATTGAACCCATAATAAATTATGCTTTAAATAAGTTTAATACTGTATACAAACCCGAACGAGAACTATGCTTGGACGAATCCATGATACCTCATCATGGACAACTATCTTTTGGGGTTTGTAATTAGAATAAAAACACAAAGTATGGAATGCTAGTCAAAGTGGTGTCTGAGGCAAATACTGACTATGTCTGCAACTTCAGCTGTATTGTAAAAAAGGTGACAATTTAGAAAAGACCATTTCACTTGTGCTTAATGACAGAAGTTTGTGGCATAATTTTCACCCACACTAGGATTAGGAAAGTGAAAAATTTACCAGTCATGAATGGGTTAACTAAGTATCTGCTGATAAAGAATTCTATGAAAGTTTAGAGGGCAGAAATATTTAAGGAAGAACACGTACTGGTCAGCATCAAAAAAACATCAGTATTCTGCTTTAGCAAAAGTCAAGAAAACTTAGAAAAATTTCATTCTGAGTATATACAGATTACTGCGGAGAGATCATCCTATACATGTGGGATGTGTGCAAATATCATACATGAGAAAGTATGAATTATTACACAATAATTGTTACACATTATTAAGCAACCAAGCATGCCAAATCAGTTCTCGGGTTTCAAAGAATCATAGCCTTCTTTCAAGAGGTCCCGCCAAGTTTTAAGAAAACGTGCATTTTCTGTACACTTGAAGGCAAGTTCTTCCACTTGAGCGGATACTACAGATGTGGCTTCAAGAAGTTTGGTTAATGAAAATGCTGCCTGAAATTTAAAAGAAAAAGAGGTTGAAACAAGTTTATTTTTTAAATTCTCATCTCATGTTACAAATAGTCTAAAAATAGCTTAAAGCCTTTAATCCAATGCCCAAGTTATTTTCTTTAAAAGTAATAAGTTTTCAAACTAAAACCATTGACTCTTTCCGGAAACCTGAAAAATTCTTTAATATTAAATAAGCTTTGAGGAAGTATATCTGCTAGAAAAATATTCATTATGTATGAGACATGACAAGTCAGTATTTTCATTTTAATTGAAAATGCACAGGGCTAGGCACAGTGACTCACACCTATAATCCCAGCACTTTTGGGAGGCCAAGGTGAGAGGATTTCCTGAGCCCATGGGTTCAAGACCAGCCTGGGCAATGTGGCAAGACCTCATCTCTACCATAAATCAAAAAATTAGCCGGATGTGGTGGCGCATGCCTGTAGTTGCAGCGACTTGGAAGACTGAGGCGGAAGGATCACCTGAGCCTAGCAGGTCAAGGCTGCTGTGGCCATGAGCGTGCCACTGCACTCCAGCCTGGGCGACAGAATGAGACTACAATTCAAAAAAATAAAAAGGAAATACACTGAACTCTCACTCGGCCCAACAAGAGGATTGGATCCCTTGACACTAAGTACCAGAAGTATCTGAAGGACTTCATCATAAACAAAGCTTACTGATATTTAGGTAACATGGGCATTGCTCCCCTATTTTTGCCTGTGAACACTTTAAACAATGAAAATGTACAGATCAAAGAAAAGATACTCTGAGCTCTGACAAATAACATCAACAAAATCACACACAGATGCTAAATATATCCAACTCTAGGGAGAAAATTCACTTTTTAAATAAAAATCTTCACCTAAGATATAAAATAACATTGTTCCTAGATAACGCATCAGCACCTAACTCTACATATTTACTTGTAACCAGTCTTGTTCTGCAAAACTAAAAGCTGGATCAGCACTTTAGTTATCTTAAAAAAAAAAAAAAAAAAACTTGTCGGGCAATGAGATGATCGAGTTCATTTCCCGGTTTCCAAACGACGCGGGAGGGTCTATTCCACAAAGCTCTCCCAGGAAGGTTCCGCCCACATACCTCATTGCACAGGACCCACTCAAGAGTCCACAAATACTGACACGAGGCAGCCCCATGCCCCCCGCGCCGCCTCCGGCGGTGTGTGACTTAGGGGTGGGAGGTGGGCTGCCAATTTCTGGGAATCCGAGATTTAACAGAAAGCACCCAGACGAATATGCATTCTCCAGTCCTAGGGCGGAGTCTCGCAAGAAACCGTTAGTTGGGAAGCCGAGGGACGAGGCCGAGCCTTCCGGCTGGGTCCCGCGAGCCAACCGACAACAGCATTTCCAGCGGGCTCTGGGCAGGCGGCCAACTGGGTCAGCGGGCGCTAAGTCCCCGGAGAGAAATCACAGCTTGATCCCAGGCACCGACGGGCAGCAAGGCAAACCCTGCGCGGGGGAAGCCTCTCTCCAACGGGAGAGGGGGGAAAGGAACGCGCCCCAGGCGGCCAGAACCGCGCGGTTTCGAGTTTCTGCGGATGATGGAAACCAGAAGGCGAGACCAGAAGAGAAGAGAGAGGGTGGGGCGGGTGCAGGAACGACCCCAGTTCCTCAACGCTAACGGCGAGTCCTCGGGGCGGGAGGCCCCCTGGCTGCTGGCACCTCCCCATCATCACCCCCCACCCCCACCCCCGCCAGGGATGCGGGAGAAGGTCTCGCTGGGCCGGGTGGGCGAGCCCCGCCCGGGCCCCGCAGCTGTGTCCCTCGAGAGGCACCACTCACGTCTCCGATCTGCAGCTCCACCTCCTCCAGCGGGTCCACCGTTCGGCCGCGGTCCCCGCTCGACACTGGCCAGTCCAAACCCCCCGGGACGCCCGGGGAAGACGCAAAAGAGACATCTGAAGACGAGGGAGAGGAGGGAGGCGACGGGGACGACAAAGCAGCCCGCAGCTCCTCCGAGTCAGCCATGACGGGAAGGGTCGGGGCCGCGAAGTCCGACCAGAGCTGCCGAACCGACACCAACAACAGCCTTTCAATCGCTCGCGCCTCGAGCCCACAGGCTCAGCCTCCCGCCGCCGCCCGAAATCCCGCCCCGCCCGTCGTGGCTCTCCGCCCAGGATCGCTAAGACGGTTCATTTTCCAGGACAGCCAATCAGATGTCAGTCGGTGCCCCTTGGGCGGTCCATCGCTTCTGCGCAGATATAGGCCGGGCTCGACGGGCGCTCGCGCGGAAGACTACAACTCCCAGAGTGCCATGCGCGCGCAGCCTTGCCATTTCACTGCGCGTGCGTCCTGCCTGAGGTTTTCCTTTTTTTTTTTTTTTTTTTTTGGGGGAGGCCCCGCCCATCGCATGCCGGCTGCCGGGGCTGGAATTCGGAGTTTCTCTTTTCCCCACTTTGGTGCTCGACCCGGAAGCCTCTGTCGGCCGTCGCGTCAGGCGTGGCGCCGGCGCAGAGCGAAGAGGAGGCGGGAGCGCAGTGAGGCAAGAGCGGTCGGCTGCGCGCAGAGGCGAACTGCAGCAGAGAAGTCCTTGCTTCCCCGCAGGCGATGGCGCCCCCCGCGGCCTAGAGGTCCAGCGCCCGCGGCGAGCCTCAGTCCTCCTGTTGTGTCCGACCGAGAGTCCTGGTGACTTTGAACATGTTGGCGCCGTTGGCCAAGCTGTCCTGCCCGGGTAAAAGGGAACCTCGGGTGGGGACAAGGGGAGCAAAGTGGAGGAGTTAGGACAAAACGGACTGCGCCGCCCCTGGGAGCTGTCGGCAGCTCTCCCCTCCCGCCCCTTCTCCTCTCCCGTCCCTTCTCTCTCCCGCCCCTTCTTTCCTTTCTCAGGCTACGCGAGGGCAAAGGTCACGCTGCCTGCGTCCACGGGGGACCCTGGCTTCCTCCCCGTGGGCTGCTCCAATTGGAAGAATTCATATCTAGGCCAAAGGGCATGGGCGGAGGCAACTTGTCAACATGCTCCCCCCAACACCATGGACTCCAGTACTGAGTCTTCCCAAATCCTGCTTCTAACCCTTATCCCCAAGCTGTGTTGAAAATGGGAATATATATGTTTACACAGTTTTTCTCCCTGGTCCTGACCTGACTTTCGTCTTTGCGGCCATCCTAGTCCAGTGTACAGATTTTGAAGTCTCATCTGTCGCGTCATGGTTAACAATCACATGCTGCCCAAATCACCAGATTGCATCTGGAGCCAGGAATTTTTCTACATTGCCTAAACTAGAGGCTTTATCATATGATTGGGTGTCCCTTGAGCCATCAGTGATTGATAGAGTTGGGTAATCTCTTCAAAGTTTTACTTTAATTTTTTTTAACTCGTAAAGAAAAGCTTACTAAAGGATCTTGTATTCCTTCATAATTTGTTAAATCATTAGTTTACTTAAGTTTTGGTTATAGAATCTTTAACCATATTGAAAATTCTAATTATGTAAATTCTTATGTAAAATTCATGAAAGTAGAATTTTGTTAAATTTGGCCCCCATTTATTAAGCAGAATTTTATGTAAAGTTTTTGTTCTCCGTGCATTAATACTTCACTTAATGTATAGATATGCTTTACTTTTTTTGGAACATCAGAGTCATCAGATGCCATGTAGTCTATAGCCCAAGTTAGGTACAGTCAGGCTTGGGCCCAGTGCTACTACCAGTTCTGATTTTGCCTAGTGTTAGGACTACTGGCAACAAAAAGTTGGACACAAATGTTCTGTCATTGTGACCTTGATACGATGATGTTGAGTTCAACAGATGGCCGGGCGCGGTGGCTCAGCCTGAATTCCCAGCATTTTGGGGGGCAGAGACGAGAGGATTGTCTGAGCCCAGGGTTCAAGACCAACTTGAGCAACTTGGTGAGACCTTGTCTCTACAATAAATCACAAAAACTAGCCAGGCATGGTGGCGTGCATCTGTAGTTCCAGCTACTTGGAAGGCTGAAGCAGAAGGATTGCCTGATCCCAGCAGATCGAGGCTGTGGTGGCCATAAGCTTGCCACTGCACTTCAGCCTGGGCAACAAGAGTGAGACTCAGACTCAAAAAAAAAACAAAAAAGAGTTCAATAGACTTTGTGACTTCACTTCTCTACCAAGGTGCCTGTATGTTCAGATCTCTAAAGTGATCATATTTGTTTTTAGAAAAGGGGTAAAGTTGACTAAAAAAAAAAAAACCCCCTGGGAAATCAGACTACACAGTTCCAAGTAGTCTCAAGAAAATCAGTGTACAAGCGGTGGAATTACAGCTTGTCATGTTCCAATCATCAGTTTTTAGGAATAAATTACTTCTATATACTAAGCTACAATGCACCAAAAAATACTTTTTAATATTGATAATAGTATATTTGAACTTGAGCTGAATTCTCTTATAATAGTTTTACTTATATATTTTATATACCTTTTTTTTCAAGATTGTTAGGTTACACTCCCAGTGGGGCCTCCAGAATGTTAGGTCAGGCCCACCAGGGTGTGGGTGTCTGGTGTGCAATCCTCTGCTGTGAGAAAAATGCAAAAAATTGCACAGAAGTTAGATTAGAAAATATAGTTTATTCAGAAAGCAAATTAGAGAGAGAGAAAGAGAAGATTTACCTCCCCAAGATAGGGGAGAGGGCCAAAGCCAGGAAACATGGTGACAGACATGGCCACGCTCAGTCTGGTAAGGCAGTGGTGGCTGGCTGCTCATGGTTGAGTCCTTTTAATCCTTCCCTTTGGTGGGGGAAGGTCATTAAGGTGATTGGGTGGTGGTCTGCTCAACATCATCACAAAGGGGCAGGTATTGAAGATGCAGACATTAGGTGATGGATAGCAGGCAGATGGGTGGATTAGTCACATGATTGCTGACATGGTGTTGGGGTCTGTGTCTCGAAGGTCATGACGGACTGATTAGGTTAACTTAGGTCTTGTGGGTAGAGGCAAATACTTGAAATAGAAAAGCTAATTAGTACAAAACAAGCTGGGGAGGTGGTTGTATAACAGTTATCAATAGCTACCTCTGAGAAGCTGGTTCTCTCCTTGGCTAGTGATTAGAGGGTAAGTTAAGTGAACTACTAGAAAAATATGAGATTTAAGCAATGTTAAAATGGCTATTCAGTGGGCATATTAAATCCATGTTATGGCCTCTCAAAGATTTAGGATAGGTGAATAGTTATCTCAGGCTTAAAAAAGTATTCCTAATACTGTGGTTATTAGTATATGTTTGCAAATAGAGAAAATTTGTTTCTTTGCCATTTTTTTTAAAGGATTATTAGAAACAGATTTTTTAAATGGGGGTCTCACTCTGGCGTCTAGGCTGGAATGCAGAGGAGGCATGATCATAGCTCACCACAGGCCCGACCTCCTAGGTTCAGACTATCCTCCCACCTCAGCCTTCCAAGTAGCTGGGACTACAGGTGTACATAGTCACACTTGGCTAATTTTGTAATTTTTTTTTTCTTTTTTTTAGACACAGGGTTTCATTTTGTTGGCCAGGCTTGTCTTAAACTCCTGGAATCAAGCAATCCGCAAGTCTCAGCCTCCCAAAATGCTGGAATTATAGACATAAGCTACTGTGCCTGTCTAGAAACAAACCTTTAATGTTTAAAAGGCTTTAGAGTTCACCCACTTCAAATCTCTTTTCCTTCTGCATTCATCATAATCCTTAAAGATTGTCTGATGCCAAGTTTTTACTTTTGAAAAAACTTATATTGGAAAGAATGGAAAAACTATTTCAAAAATATTAATTGTTCAATAAAATGCTAGAGCATAAAATTACTAGCCTATGCTAGACTGAATTTATTAAAACATATCATCTCTCCATTTAATTAGAAAGAAAACAACTTGATTTTTACCACAGCCTGAGGTTTTATGACTTAGAGATGATTTCAAATCAGATGATAGTTTCAGAGCTTTAGAGGATATTTGAAAGGATTGAGGCTGAATTTGGCTAAGGATCATCTGAATTTCTCTTTATCTGCTATAAATGGGAATTGTAGCCACTATGCATATCTCAAAGTTTTGAAGATATGGTATTAAAATGGATAGTTCTTAATTGTTCATATGTCCATGAAAATGTGCATTATATAGACCAAGTCCATGTGAAATTATTTTTCAGTCTTTACTAGTTATTTGTTAGTCCATTTTTAGAAATCTGTTCATTTGTAGATAGTTGCTTCATAATAAGAGACAGTTTAAAAGTTAGGAAAGGCCTCCATATTATTACTGCTCTATACCAAAAACTACAGTTGAAATTGAAACTAGCAAGGTACATATACAGTTAACAAATATATACTGGCCACCTGTTTTGTGTTAAACTTGCTTTGTTTAATACATATACTAGATCCTTAATTATATTGGGTTATGCATAAGTTCGTATCGTTTTTCACTTGCTCATGGAATGCAAATGTTGCATGATGATTGGTCACAGTTCATCAAATTTGTCAGTTCTTGGGTTGACCGACATCGGTCATCGTAGATTAAAGTGTTTCAACGGTCTTTATCAAAGCCCAATGGTCTCCCTGAACGTGGAGAGTCACTCAGGTCACAGTGGCCCTCTTTGAAACAACAAAACCATTTTTGGCCAGGCGTGGTGGCTCATCCTGTAATCCCAGCACTTTGCGAGGCTGAGGTGAAAGGATTGCCTGAGCCTGGGGGTTTGAGACCAGCCAGGGCAACTTGGTGAGACCTCGTCTCTACAATAAATCACAAAAGAAAACCTAGCCAGGCGTGGTGGCGTGTGTCTGTAGTTCCAGCTACTTGGAAGGCTGAAGTGGAAGGATCGCCTAAGCCCAGCAGGTCAATGACAGCTGTGAGCGTGCCAGCCTGGGCGATAAGAGTGAGACTCCAACTCAAAAAAAAAAAAAAAAAAAAAAGAACCATTTTCTTGCCATGCTTTTCCCAATGGCGTTCTCCCGTTGACAAAACAAATGTTATCAAGCCACCTTCACTGCCTTTACTTCTCTGTTAAACTCAAACAGAAGAAATGTCAGAAGTGTTTGGTTTTTTCCATTTGACAGTCCATCTTCTTTAGTTCACAAATAACACGTTTTTCAGTTCTGCAAAATACAAGGCAGTATTCACAAGCACAACATTGTCACTCCAAATGACAAATGATAAAAAACTCCCAACCATACAATGTTGCCATGCCAAAACAAACGTTATTGACTTATGCATCTACCTAATAATATCTGCAAGATAGATGTTGACCATAAACTTTATAACTGATGGGTGAGGAAAGTTAAATAACTTGCTAAAGGCTTTATTGCTATTAATAAATTCAAACATAAGAGATAGGCTTTGAAGCCTTTGCACTTAAGCACTGCCTTCTATATTGCCCTTTTAAAAAAGTTTTGTTTTAAATTAGTAAAGTTTATTTAGCAGTTTCAAGTTGAGCAGAAAGTACATGGTTCCCATATAACTCCCCCCATCCCCGTTGTTAACATCTTGCGTTGGTATGGCATATTTGTTACAAATAGTGAGCCAATATTGATCCATGATTATTAACTGTGAAGTATGTAGTAGGTTACATTAGAGCTCACTCTTTGTGTTGTATATTCTTTGGGTTTTGACAGATATATAATGACATATATCCACCATTAATCACAGATCATACAGATTCGTTTCACTTCTTCTTTTTTTTTTGAGTTGGAGTCTCACTCTGTCGCCCAGACTGGAGTGCAGTGACCGC